CTGGGATAGGCTCCAGGCCTCCCAGTTGACCCTGAGCAGGATAAGCAGCTGGAAAATGGATGGATGGATAAATCAGCTGGAATGACTACAGCAAATGTAGGACCTTTGAACTGCCCTTGCATGTGAAATCAAAAATATGTAGCAACCCTGACCCCTGGTGACCACTCTGGGTACTGCATGCCTGAGTGCATTCCAGCTTTGGGTCCTGCCAGATCCTTTCATGTTTTACCCTGAGCACCATTCAAATTGGTTGAAGACCGAACCAGTGTTTCAGAGCACAGATGAACGCTGATTTTACGAAGGATGCCTGGTTAACAGCTTTAAGCCTGAGGATTCTGTGAAGCTGTATTCCCAGATGATCGCACGCCTACTCCCCCCTGGGCCGCCATAAGGCGATTAAGGGCCATCTGAAGGCGGTCGCCGTCCTGCGTCTCATTGTTTTGCGGGACAGTGACCTTCAGGCAGAGTTGATGAAGTGAATGTGTGTTGGGGCCCCGCCCCCGAATTGTAGGATTGGCTGAAAGCCAGCGATAACAGGTCAGCCTGCAGTCGCAGTAGAAATTACAAGGGGAACATTGTGTTGCTGTGGCATTGGGAGAGCACTAATAAGACTGTTCCTAAGTAAGATGAAAGCTACATTTCTTGGACTGTTTTGGGCTTTTCTCAAGGGGTAACATTCATCGATAGAACATGGTTCTAGAGCACCGGTAGCTGGGACGGTACTGCCTCCTCCCTTCTTTTTTGCACCCTCCGTTCTCCCTCCCCTCTGAACTGCCCAGACACACCTCACCCTCCTGCTCTGAGGATGACCAGCAGGCCGAGGGGGTGGGGGGTAGGGGGGTACCAGGCTGCATCCACAGCCTCACATAAGTTATAGTGGTGTAATTCACGGCTGTAGCTGCGGGGAAAATGAAACAGAGCTAAAATGCATAAATAACTCAAGATCAAGAGACCGCCGGTTTTATAGGCCTTCCAGGCGGTGGCCTGTAGCCCCGCCCCCGGGGCGGAGCCTAATCTCATGACTGTATTCAGACCACGGGGCCGATGACGGAGGTTCCTTATTAACAAGTGGCTAATTACTGGGTAATCCTGCCAGCTGAATGTCCGCTGAGCCGCCACAGGTCGTGATGGGCGACGTGCGCCGCGACGGCTGGGGTCGTGACCGGGCCATGGCGGTGACTTTTGTTTCTGGACGTAGGTGTCAGTGGGCACAAATGACCAGTGTTTGCTTCAGCAGGGGGGCGTGGAGGGTCGGCTCAGTTTGACAGCGGAAAGGCCTGCGTGTTTGGTCCTGGGGCAGCTCTCGTAACGTCCTGCACAGTCTCTGTGAGAGAAAACAGACGTGGGAAGGCTGGTGACTCTGATCCCAGGAGATGCTCTGCTTAACCTCGGAAAGGCCATGAAAAAAACAGAAGAGTCAGGTTAACAACAGAATAAGAACCACAACAACAACATTAACGATATTAATACCGGCCGCCTCTGGGAGATCTGCTCTTTGCCTGCTGGCTGTGAGCATGTGAAAAGGTGAGATCCAGCGTTTTGACTGGCCCTGCTGCCGAACGATGCGGGAGAAGGTAGGAATTGTCTTGAAAGGAGTTTGATTTGGTTTGGCAAAAGAAAGACAGCGTGAGTATCCCCTTCAGAGGGGAGGGTGCGGGCACGTGGACACGCGTGTTCCTGATGGTCGCCTTGGCGGCGTTGTTCGCGAACGCCAACTTATTTGTGATTCATTTACATGCACATTTTTTTTTTTTATGTCTCTCCTGTTCTCAAAGGAAAAGTAGCAGAAGCTGTATGAGTGATGACCAGCTCTGAGGAAATGCCTGGGGGATAAGAAATGGCAACCGTAGCGTATGAGAAGATCTACTGCACATGTGCATGCGAATGTGATTGTGTGTGAAGAGGACAGACACACAAATCGGGTGACTTCCTCCTGTCAAAAAGTCACTGCCTGATCCACACCTGAGTGGGAACCAGGTGGGTCATGATAAGATTACTGACTGTCAGTGAGCCAATCCAGTGCTAAGCTGATCCACCGTCAGGCACTTAATGGTCTAATTAGCCGATTACCGGGCAACACGATGGATGGGGCAAGTCTAGGCTGCCTATTGCACGAATCAGCACCCTCCTGTCACGTAGGTGATCGGCTTGTTAATGGCAGTGCTGGGCTGGTTAAAAGCATTGTGACATGGGCAGTATGGGGCCGTCATGTGTGCAGTGCTGCTTAATACTCGCCATGGTGGGTGTAAGAGCTGTTAACTGGTACAGAAATAATTAACAGGAGTGCAGTGTGTACAGGGCTGGTTAATCGTGTGGAATGTATTCAATTGTGTAGTAGTGATCAGGATCGCTCAGAGGGAGGTTAAATAGTGACCGCAGCCGCCCCCCCCCACCCGCCGAACCCCCCATCGTGTGTACACGGATAGAGACTCCCTTACACGCAGAGTCTGCTGTCATGTGATGTTTGCCAGACAGATGCCTGTGATGAA